AGGGTTAACCATACCTGAGTTAGAATTCAGTTTTGCTACATACTAGTTGAGTAATACATGGGCAGGTCTATGTCTCAATTTCCTCTGTGAATACTAAGTATGTACACACTTACAATACAGGTGCATATATAATCACATTTATTGCTACATGTAACAACTACATGTAACTCAGAAGAATGCATATATTTACATATAATGCCAGAGCAATACAGACACCTAAACATATCTTAGAATGCAACTTAAGTTTTATATAGTATTACTGAGTCCTTTAACATAAAGAGATTTTTAGGTTTATAACCACAAAGGCGAGTTCTATATAAAATCAGTGATACCTTCTGACTTACTGGGTGAGGACTAGGAATTGGTCTTGGAGAAAAATCTTCATCTTCAACACCAGAATCATGATCATTTATTGGCATTTTTCCTGGAGATAATGTTTGGAAAGACCTATTGAGGGGAAGATAATAAATCTTTAATAATCTAGTGTTTGTTTCTTTTTGAAATTGAATAAAGTGCTTTAATAAGCCACAGTAGTATCTGGGCCACTTAATTTAGCATCTGACAATTACAAGTTATTTTATTTTAAGGTACATGAATTCTTTTTTATGGCAGTGTATCTGATAGTTCAGTCTTAAAAATGACAATGAAGAAAAAAATAAACAGGAGGCAAATAAAACTAAACAGGATGTTTCTTCCAAAGTAAGATTTCTGACAAATACCTTTCTTCCGATATAATAAATCAACTCAAATGAGAATATTAGAGTTGTTACTTCATTAAAATTATCATCTAAAATCTGAGTATAAAGGAATGTATTTAAAGCAAATACATATCATATCAGATATTGACATACAACTTCATCAGAACTAGAAAGTTATTTTACTCATCCAAAACTAATGAGTGTAACTTAAAAAATACATAATTAAAAAAGAAAAAAAAAACATGTCTATTACCTCTTAATTGAAAGATTCTTGAAAACTTTGTTGAAAAACTCTGTTTCTGCATTTTGGCTTTCAGCACTCAGTTCAAAAAGGATTGGTTTTTTGTCAGAGGAGTCAACATTCTGGAAAGAAGCAGGTCATACTTTGAAATGTGACTGAGCACCAGAAAATTCTATTAGATGAAAAGCAGTTCTGAAACACTGGGAGGAAGACTTCTTATTTCTATTACCTGAATCTTCCTTTATTTTTTAAGTGACATTTTTACATCTAACATATTAGTTTCAAACATATAATGATTTTATATTTGCATATATTGCAAAATGTCTGCCATAACAAGTTCAGTTAATAACCATCACCATAAAGTCACACACACACAAAAAAGTTGTACTGAGAACTTTTAGGATTCTGTTCTCCTGGATACTTTCAATATATGATACACAATGTGCTAGGTCACATTCTCAGGACTTCTTTGTAACTTTCTGACCAAATCCCAAAGCTTATGACTCCTTGGCAACCATCAATTTGTTCAATTTGTTCTTTAGATCTAAAGGTACAGTTTCCCTTGATACACTCAGGAAACTTGTTCTGAGGCTCCCCACAGCTAACAAAATCCAAGAATGCTTAAGTCCCTTATATAAAAGGGAATAGTAGTTGCATAAAACCTACCCACATCCTTTACATAAATACCTAGTATAAACAGTTGTTACACTGTACTGCCTAGAGAATGACTGTACATGTTCAGTACAGATGCCACCATGGAAGTATAATTATGTAGTATTTTCAATCTGAGACTGGTTGAATCCACAGACGCTTAAAACCATGGATGTGGGGAGCCAACTGCTTTTATTTCTATAAAGGAATCCACACACAAGCTCAGACATTTGTCTTTCTGTCTTATTTAAGTCACTTCAAGAGCCATCCAAGTTGTTGCGAATGACAAGATTTTCTCCTTTATAGAGTTGAGCCTTACCCTGAATTAGCCTTTCTTAAAAGAATATTGTGGTTTGATCTTCTATACATACTGCTCTATTTTCCTCCATATCAGTATGAGGTAGTTTCTCTCTATTATTATTCATATGTTTACTGTATTCATGGCTGAGAATATTCTATTGTACTTGTGTTTGCATACTTTGTTTTACTGTGTCATGTTACTGCATTTTTTATAACTTGAAAGTCTGTGGATGACCCTCATGAAGCAAGTCTGTCGGTGCTATTTTTCCATCTGCATATGTTCATTTCATATCTGTGTCACATTCTGCAGTTCTCACAAAACTTCAAACTTTTATCTGTTATTGGTAAATGTGCTCAGTTATTTTTAATATATTATGTTGTAATTATACTGATACTGTAATTATTTAGAAAGGTCCACAAACCACACCCACGGAAGAGGCAAACCTGGCAGATGACATGTGTGTAATGACTATTCATACAATATTGAAATTAGGTAATTAACAACCCTATAATGGCCTCTAAGTATTCAAGTGAAAGGAAGAGTCATGGTCTCTCACTTTAAATCATAAGCTAGAAATGAGTTTAATGAGGAATATAAGTCAAAAGATGAAACAGGCTTTTATTAAAAGCTAGAGTTCTTGTTCCAAATAGTTGGCCAGGATAAATTTTTGAAGAAAATTTAAAGTGCTACTATAGTAAACATATGAATAATAATAGAGAGAAACTACCTCATACTGATATGGAGGAAAATAGAGCAGTATGTATAGAAGATCAAACCACAATATTCTTTTAAGAAAGGCTAATTCAGGGCAAGGCTCAACTCTATGAGACAGGGAGGTAAGAAGGCTGCAGAAAAAGTATGAAGCTAGCAGAGGTTTAAGGAAAGAAACTGTTTTCAGAACATAAAAATAAATGATGAAGCAGAAGTGTTGTCGAAACTGAAGAAATCATCCAGAAGATCTAGCTAAGATAACTGATTGTGAACTGATCATATCTGTAAGTGAAATCAAAGTCACAAAAAATATCTAGTAGAAACAGTTATTAAGATGCCATTAGTATTTTTGTAGCTAAAGAATTTTTTAAGTTATTGGTCTGAGACATTAGAACTAATCATTTTACTGAGCTCTTTGAATGTTATCATATAATGACACTTAAGGTTTTGATGATCTACTTTTTCTGACTATCACCTAAGTGTTCTTTGATATATGTATTTAGATGGATAACAACCTACCCAGATGGCCAGAATAGCTGTAATGCTATTACATACTTATTTCTTCTAGACATTGATTTTAAAGGTAAGACACTATTTGTCGTACCTACACATTTAAAAAGTAAGACGGGGCAAAGAAAACAAGTTGAAAATTAACCCTTGATATCATAAAATGATACATGTGAATTCTTGATCGTCTTCAAAGACTTTAGAAAAACATGGACAAGATACTTGGTGAATAACACCTGATACTGTAGTATAATTCAGTTCTGAAGCTACAGTCTAAACTTTATGAAACAAAATTAGCCAAAAGCAAATAAAAAAGCAAATTTTCATTAACAATGATTACAAATAAAGCCTAGTAGTTTGAGTTACTATATGAAAGGGTAAAGAATATTGAGTTCAAACTGTCAATATGCAAGCCTAAACAGTCACTAATGGACTGGGTAAACAGATCACTTACTTTGAAAAAATGTCGTGTTTCCTTGCTGGTTATTAGCTGGAATTGAAGGTCGGGTGACTTGTCACTGCAATGGAGGCATTCATAAAACTCAGGATCTTTATGTGTCACAGAATAGAGAACTACAATGAAATTTCCGGACTCTGAAAATACCCTGGGGAAAAAAAACACATTTAACTAAAATTTTCTGAGGATTGCAGGCATATACTTTGTCCTATGTTAGTATCGTACCTGTTAATAGACTGATGAGTCCAAATTTAGATGAAAACTTGACAGTAAATATAAGTTTACTTTTTTTTTTTTTAAAGATTTATTTATTTGTGCATACAGAACTGGGGTACAGGCCAGAGGCTCAAGGGTGGCGAGAGGCTTCACCAGAGACAGGATGGAGAGCAGAACAGGCAGATCGAGGAAGTACACTGCTGAGGGGAGCAGTAGGCAGGTCAGGAGAGGTCTGCCACGCCATGTGGTCACCTCCGGGGCAGGCGGGAATCAAACTCATGCGGAAGTGGCTTTTGCTTCTTAGTGCTGTGCTTTAACCCGCTGCGCCACCAGGGAGGGCCCAATATAAGTTTACTTTTAAGGTTATTGATTTTTAAAATATATTTTATGAAATATTTCCTGTAAAATTTCAAGTAAAAGAGGAATATATAAAATGAAAATGAAAACTACCTCATCCTATGCTCATTTGTGTAGATACTTACTTCCAAAATTTTACCACAAGCATATACATTTTATACAATTTAACAAAAACGAGACCATACTATAACAACTACAATTACTATTTTTTTTTTGACTATCGGGTTTTTTTCGCACCTGACTTTTCTATATTATCCCTTAGACCTCCTTATTCTTTGTTAATGAGTATCCATCCAATATTATTCTTTGTAGTTCTAAAGTAAATACTTGAATTATTTCAATATTAGCCTACTACAAACTGATAAAATGAGTATTTTATTATTCACTATATGACTCAAGTTTTATAAAATCATCAAGAGTTCTCTAAGTTCAAACTAAAACAATCTAAAAATACTTTTACTATTTTTACTTCTCTGTAAAATGTTGAAAGAAAAACAACGTGGGAATGTATTAAGCAGTGGAGAAAGAGGATACTGACTCTGCTGCCTTCCTCTTGGAGTCAAACCATTTGCTCTGCACCCTTTGCTAAGAATGCCATGAAGTACCGTGTAGGCTGTGCCAGGTGGTGTGGACTCCCCTTTGGTTCAAAACCCCTTTCAAAGGACTGACAATGATTAAAGAGTTCAAATAGAAAAGAAATTGCCTGATGTTTCGGACTGAACATAGACTAACAATTTTAAAAATTAATTTTATTGAGCAATTACTGCCAATAAGAACTTAAAATAGGGGCCTCCCTGGTTGCCTAAGTCTCAGCACTATCATGCTATCACCACTTCGGTCTGAGTTTGATCCCCTGGCCAGGGAGCTACTCCACATACGGTACAGCAGACCTCTCCTGTCTTGCCCACGGCTCCCCTCAGCAGTGTATATCAGTAGATCTACCAGTTCTGTACCCCACTCATTCTCTGGTTGAATCCTCTCAAGCCCTGCTGCACCTCTGGCCTACACCTCAGTTCTTCTACACAAAGATAAATGTCTTAAAAAAAAAAAAAAAAAGAACTTAAAACATCACAAATCAGGGCCCTCCCTGGTGGCACAGTGGGCTAAAGCACAGCACTGAGAAGCTAAAGCCACTTCCGCAAGAGTTCGACTCCCGCCTGCCCCAGAGGAGATCCACATGGCATGGCAGACCTCTCCTGACCCGCCCACTGCTCCCCTCAGCAGTGTACTTTGTCAGTCTGCCTGTTCTGTTCCCCTCTCTGTCTCTGGTGAATCCTCTCACCATCCACATCTCTGGCCTGTACCCCAGTTCCATATGAATAAATACATAAATCTTTAAAAACAAAAACAAAACAAAACAAAAAACATCACCAGAGATAATACTTAGCCAAACTAATTCAATACAATAAACATTTGTTTTATTGAAAATAAAACTGTACTGTAAAAATAAAATAAAATGTGAAAAGGAGAACTATAAAAAACATCTGGGGCCCTCCCTGGTGGCGCAGCGGGTTAAAGCACAGCACTGAGAATCTGAAGCCACTTCCGCATGAGTTCGATTCCCGCCTGCCGCCTGCCCCGGAGGTGACCACATGGCGTGGCAGACCTCTCCTGACCCGCCCGCTGCTCCCCTCAGCAGTGTACTTCGTCGATCTGCCTGTTCTGCTCCCCACTCTGTCTCTGGTGAAGCCTCTCACCGCCCCTGAGCCTCTGGCCTGTACCCCAGTTCTGTATGAATAAATAAATAAATCTTTAAAAAAAAAAAAAAAATCTGAAGAAAACTTTTATTTCAATAAATAATTCCAAATCCTTTATAATATAGAAAAAAAGAATAGCTAAATCTTTTTCAAAAATGTCTAAGAAAAGTATAATTAACCTAAGTAAATGACAACCTGGTGAGAAAAAAGAATTTTGTATAGATAGACACACACACACACACAAAATATCACTTGCCTTTCCTGAATGGAAGAATTAAACATGTATCGCAAGCAGCAAGCCCATACATGAGGACTATAGATATGAATAATCCCAGACAGCCAACTAAAACAAAAAAATAGAAATTAAAATTATTTACATATTAATATGTAACATACTTTAGATGATAGTCTTTTCAAATATTATCACAGTTTCTTGGCATTCACCATAAATACATTAAAGGCATCATACATAAGAAATCTATGAATGCTGTTCATGCTTATAGTTAAGAAGAAAAATAGAATAGATATAGTTCTACTTTCTTTCTGTCCTTTTCCATCTGAGATGAAGGGCAAATACAAAGTGGTAGAAGAAAAAATGGTTAGCAGAGGTGAAAACAGGAATCAACTGGAGTCAGTCTGGCCAGGAAAAATGGGCTGAACTAAGGGAAAATGAAATTAGGAGCCTAAAACTATAATTACTAAGAGGATTAAATGCTGTAACTTTTATAGGTAGCCTGAAACACAAATGATGTTACTGAATATACACTTAGCATCAAAACCCATAGTAAAACTCATAGCAAATAAGACTGTAATGGATCCCAGGTAACAGAACACTAGTAAATTCTCATTTTTTAACTTTGTACATACTATTCCCACATGGTTTTTCTTCCCCCAATAAGCGTCCTTTCGATTATCTATTATAATCAGACATTATCTATTAGAGGTCTAGCTAAAATTTGCCTTCTTCTAACAAAATGTCTCCTAGTCTTGCTTATAACAGTGCTCTCTGTCCATACTGCTTATTGTATAGTAAATTATATACTTTCTTACTATTTGTCTTTCTGCATGTGAATACTTGATTATTATATCACCTTACCTTGATTATAAATTCGAGGAGCATTAAATTCCTACCAAGTTCCAAACATGATACTATGCATATGGTAAGAACTCAGTAAATACTGAATATAAATTTCTGACTGAATAATTTGTTTAAATATCATTAGCTATTAACTCTAAAGAGAAAGTCATTAACACTAAAAGGAGTATCTGCAAAATTGCCTGACAGTAAATTTTAAACACTTATTCTGGGCCTTGTGTTATTCAAGGTATCGGGATAGTGGGGAAGATTAAAGAAATAGGGTTTCTAAGGTTTCAATATCAACCAGAAAAATTCAACTTGATCAGTTTTAACTAATTCTGCCATTAAAACAAGAAAGTTTAGGAATCACTTGTCTTTAAGGCTTATGAAAGTATTCTAAGTATCATATATTAACAGCTGATTTACACATTTAATCACATATGCAGCTGAAAGCTTTCCATAAATAATGAAATACTTACATTCCCACTAGTGGCAGAGAATAAACCTTTGGGTCAGATTCCAACAGAAGTAACAATTTGCGGGTTTCGTCCATGGTAAGATATCTAAATGAAAAACGTTCATGTAAAAACAATTGAAAGTAGGTAGGTCCTTTTTACCTAAGCCAGGTGATCTTGGTTCTAAAGAAGATTCTTTTAGGCAGGGGAGGTGACTTCAATGATATTTTCTCTATCACACACAGGCACACATAAATAGTTCAAAATACAGAAAAAGACTCCAATAAGAGGGAAAGATTAAATAGATTAATCATCTCAACATCACTATTAAAATGACATTAAAGATTACACAACTTTTTAAAAATGTTTTGCTCTGTAAGTATCAACTTTTTTTTTTTTTTACTATAATAGTTCTTTATTATTCTCAAATGTGGAGTGCTAAATGCTGAGTCAGGACAGAGTCGTAATGTACCTACAGGATAGGCTTTAAAATCGCCAAGGATGAGAGATGTAAATCATCAGAATTACTCTTGAAAATCTCAAGAAGCTGCCGTAATAGAGATGGAGGTGATCTCTCAGGGAATTCAGCACTGTGGCTTTATCCCAGGGTTTGGGAGATCAGCATTTCTACATGCACCGGCCTTTACTAAATCCATAATGTATGAGAACTATGAGTCTGTAAGCACCAGAATCTGAGTCATGTCACAGGGATATTCACGTGATAGGGCCATGTCAGAACTGGTTGAAGGAAGAAACTTAAATCTGCTCACATCCTATTGCACTCTCTCTAGAACATCTAAGCACTGAGTGAAATTGCCAAAATTGCTGGCCATCTTGCATCACCTACATGGCTATATCACTTTCTTTCTTCAACTGAGCACCTTTTTTTTTTAAAATATAATAGTTTATTTTTACATCATTTTGTAGACCTCTTTTTTCATCTCAATTGTAATCCCTGTGGGTTTCCCATCACCCGAGTCACCTATGTGCCATCACCATAGTCCTGTGGACTTCCCTCCCCACCCCCCCGCCCTGTTTGATCCCATTCCCCACCCCACCCCCACAAAATGTCTCTGGTATATGACTGTTCATTATTTTTATTATTTTCTCGCCTGGTCCATTAGTATCAACTTATTTTTATAAAACATACTATAAAATCAAGGCTGACAATTTCAGAATCAAATAGATTTCCCCAAGAAGAGTGACTTTCCTATTACTAGAAGTGTGGAAGCATCCAGGTGACTTGGTAAGACTGCACCAGACATGACTTTCTCAGTAAAATCAATTAGATGAGGAATATTCAGCTTTCCATGAACTGTTTCTATATTCCTCCAACCACTCTCAAAGAACTTTGGAGCCACCGTGATAGAACCCAAAAGCCTATTTTTCCATAAAAGAGCATTATGTTACATTTATACCTTGTGATTCAATGAAGTTTAAAGAACTTGAATAACTGTAGGACTGTTGTCTTTAAAACACACACACACAAATAATGTCCTTTGTGACACAAAATATTGATAGTACTGCACAGATAATGAATTTATCAGGCCATTTGACAAGATGATTAAGCCTGAGTTGGCAGATTTATGTAACAATGACACACCTGCTCTGAGAGCTCTTCTGTCTTGATCAACTGATAAATTCCTATTCTTTAAAAGAATCAGCTTTCCTGTGATTTCCCCAGGCTTCCTATGATTTTCCCAGATGAACTGGTCACATCTTTCTGTTTTCCCTGCCTGAATATATAAGCCTCCACTTTCTTTACCTACATGTTTACATGTTAACATACCAATGAACAGAAAATGTGATCTTTTTTACTTTTTTTATTCCTGTTTCTAAAAGTTTCTACTCCATATGGCTCCTAATACTAGGGTACACATATAAATGTGGTCAAAGAAAGGGGAAAATGTCACAAATTTCATAAACAATTTTAAGTAGGAAGGGATGAGAAGAATAGATTGTCTTGTGTTACTACTGGCATCCTAAGGGACCACAGAAAAATTCAAAGAAAGGTAAATTTATGGCTCATTAGTAGATAAACACAGAAAAAGAATTTTTTTTTTGTTAATTTCAACACAAATTTTCATGCCTTTATTAAGAAGCTCTCTATTACTATAAGAGAACTAAAAGTTCCACTTAATTAATTGAATGTTTCGCTTCAACTCCACTCTTCTGGAATATACGAACACTTCTTCCTTTGTGCTACTCCCAATGAGAAAGGTGCTCTGGTGAGCACGTGAGTCTGAAATCCTTTCCTGCTACTCCAGGGACCATATGAAGAGAAAAAAAGTCTCTTTTTCTTAATCCTTGTTTGAAGAAGCACTTTCAGAAGACAAGACCTGGAGCTGAGTGCACCTTGGCAAACATTTTTGGCTCTAGAGAGCTAACAGGAAGTAGGGTGGAGTCAGTGGGAAAGGATGCCAGAAGCCACTGCTTAGGCTTTGAAGCAGAGGTTGCCTGCATTGTTTAACACAGCTGAGTAGACAATGGTTAAGGAAAGTAAATGAAGAGTCAGGGAAGCTGGCCTGCTGTGGTTCAGAGAGAGTATACAGTTTGGCTTGTGTTTCCTAAGAAACTAAGAGTGGCGAGAGGAAACTAGAGAGGATGCTGCCCGAGGAAACTCCACCTTCAAATGGCTGACAATTTGATAAGCAAGAGTACTGTACTCTTACAAAGTACTGTAAGTTTTTAACCATGTCCTTTATCTATAATGTTCATTATTCACAGTTAAAGTATATATTGTAAATAAAGTCTCCATCCTCTACTAGGTGCATAATCAAAGTATAGTTAAAAAACAACAACAAAATAAGATGTAAAAATAAACCATAATATCATTTAAAAAATAAATACACCCCCTAAAATGGAAGAAAAAAAAAAGCAGAGCCAAAAAAAGGGAGACAATGCCCTAAGACCTAGGTAAAATGTTTAAAGAGACATCACCTCATATTCTGAAATGACAAAATACAACCAATTTTAATATAATTTACACCCTAATTTTTTTTGGGGGGGGGGTGGTGTGCAAACTCTTTGAAAGAAAATTACATTGAGCAAAAATTAACAACTCCATTTGTCACCTTTCTTGGTTATTTATCTTATTACCACAGATCTCTTGCATGTAAACTAACTGAGTAATCATTTCATATAATGTGGACATCATGACAACATACAAATACAACCAATATTTAAAATTTTGGACTAAGATCTTTTACTTACCCAAACTTATAGGTACCTTGAACTTGAGAAATATTCAAATTACCGCTCAAGTTTCTTGCCAGAGCTGTTGGAATAATGGGGATGGGCTTCACAGGTGTGCATTTAAAGGTATTTGCCAGTGTTACTGCTGCCCAATGCAAATCAAAATCCACACTGTCCAAATTCTCCTGGTAAGTAATATGTGCTCTCAGGGAAAGCAGTTTACCACAATCCAAGGAATCTTTGCTTCGTACATAGTGTTGCAGAGCCTAAGGAATCAATACTATGCCATTACTTTAAAACTTTGAAATGTGTCCATATCTTTAAAGATTATGTTTCATATTGGTTCATAAACACATATTATCTTACACTAACAAAAACTTCCCCTCTATAGTTACTTATACCCATTGTGTCGTCTCTAGTCTCACTGGTTAATATCACACCTCAAATATATACCTGACTACTATAATAGCTTAACTATTCATTCTAACTATATAGTCTGTCCTATCAGATTAATTGTCCTTGATATTGAAATATTTTCTCTTCAGAAACTTTCAATGACTGTACAGGCCTAATCAACAAAAACTATATACCTTGGTGGCACAACAGGTTAAGTGGCAGCACTGTGAAGTTTTATGCAGTCACTGCAGCAAAAGTTCAATCCCAGGCTGGGGAGCTGACCCACATGGTGTAGCAGACCTCTCCTGTCTCTCCACTGCTTCCCTCAGCAGTATATTTCAGTCGATCTGCTTGTTCTGCTCACCACTGTCTCTGGTGAGTCCTCTCACCCCCCTGCACCTCTGGCCTGCACCCCAGCTCTTGTATACATAAATAAATAATTTTTTTTTTTTAAAAGATTTATTTATTTATTCATACAGAACTGGGGTACAGGCCAGAGGCTCAGGGACGGTGAGAGGCTTCACCAGAGACAGAGTGGGGAGCAGAACAGGCAGATTGACGAAGTACACTGCTGAGGGGAGCAGCGGGCGGGTCAGGAGAGGTCTGGCTCGCCATGTGGTCTCCTCCGGGGCAGGCGGCAGGTGGGAATCGAACTCATGCGGAAGTGGCTTCAGATTCTCAGTGCTGTGCTTTAACCCGCTGCGCCACCAGGGAGGGCCAATAAATAATTTTTTTAAAGATTTATTTATTCATATAGAACTGGGGTACAGGCCAGAGATGTGACGAGTGAGAGGATTCACCAGAGCGAGGAGCAGAACAGGCAGATCAACAAAGTACACTGCTGAGGGGAGCAGCGGGCGGGTCAGGAGAGGTCTGCCACACCATGTGGATTTCCTCCTGGGCAGGCGGGGATCGAACTCATGCGGAAGTAGCTTAAGCTTCTTAGTGCAGTGCTTTAACCCGCTGCGCCACCAGGGAGGGCCCTAAATAAATCTTTTTTAAAAAAACTAAATTCTTTAGCCTGGAAGACAAGGCTCCTAGAACCTAATCAAATACTCCAGTCTGACTGCCCACAAATCCAGTAAATTCCACCCTTAACATCTCCCTGTGTTCATCTTGCACATTGCTATCTTAGCCATAGTTTGCAGTTTGTTCTTCTGAAATACTATTACTATCCCCTTTCTATAATCTCTTCCTATAAAAAAGTCACATTCAATTGTATTTTAGGTCAACATCCAATCAAAAATAATGATGAAAACATATGGGTTCATTAAGTATACAATGTTTGTTTCTTATGTTTAAGAATAATCACATCTGAAACTAAATACGTCAATTATACCTTACACACATACACAAAGATCAAGTTATCAACAAATCTCACTTTAAAAGTTGAACTGATGTCATCTGCATTGTGAACTATTATTTCTCTTGAACAAAGTCCTTGAGTTTGAATTTTGCATGGAATCACAAAGTCCCCAGGAAGAGAAGCAGTAGGCATTCTTTCTAAGCATTCAGATATTTCTCGACCAGGATCAAAGCGATCTACTGTCAACGTCACACCTTCTTCATCTGAAGAATAAAAGTAACTGTTACTATATAGCATGCCAATTAAAGATGAAAGCAATTAAGCAAGTCTATCTACTTTATAGCAAAGCATGTTGCTCATACTAATAGCACACTAAACTCTTATTTTAAAAAACATTTCTCATCTATATTCTTCCATCTGTCTAAACTGTGAAATCTGTGATGGGTAGTGTCAAGTTTTATTCAGCTTCACAACAAAGAAAAATCAGCACCAATTATAACAATCCTCACTAGTATACATAAATTCTACTATAGTCAAAAATCAATAAGTATGCTATTATAGTCATATAAATATATATGCTTTTAAGTATGTTACCTTCATCTATTGTGAGAGAACCAAGCAAAAAGCATGGCAAATTGTTTTTATTCTGCTTAGCATGACGACAAGCAATTCGGATAGTCTTTTCAGTTACCACAAGTTTTGGATTTCTGAAAAATATCAAAAACATGTTTCATGAACATGCTGCATGTGATACATGAAAAAAAAACACCAAAACCTCCTTCCACAAACTACTGCCTTTAATATAGGTTTTAACAACATACAGAAAAATCACTTTTTGGAAATCCTACAATCAAAGGCAGGGTATAGGATAGGCTACAGAAACCAGAACTAAAATAAGCAGACATTAAAGTTATAACTGTTTTCCAGACATTTGCTCAATTTTTTGAGTCAGATTAGGAATCAAAAACCTAAGACCAACTACCTTGTTTATGAACTTCAGATATTACTACTGAATATAGAATATGAATAAATTATTAAAATGTTTTAAAGACTTGGAAAATCAGAGCAAAGAAGAATTGTCAAAAAACACCAAGCAAATTTGAAAAATAGCCACAAAGAACTTTAAGAGATAAAAAATATATAGTAATTTTGAAAATTCAATAGGGGACCCCCAAGAGGAGCAGCAGGCAAGACAGGAAAGGTTTGCTGTCCTCACCATTAGCGAGTCAGTTCCTTGGCTGGGGATCAAACTCAGACCACACAGAGACAGTGTTTGAGATTCAATCCCTATGCCACCAGGTAGGCCAATATTTGATATTATTTTTAATATAGTCTATCCACTCAAAATCTACAAATACCTGTCCAAATTTTCTTACAGGTTGTCTCTTGAATTCCTATAATACTTAGAATTTTAGATTTGCAGAGTATTATAAATGTAAAATTAAGTTGTTTCTCAAAATCATGAGGAAGGGTTAAAAGGAAGCAGAATCTGAATGGAAAAGCAATAAAAAGCTTGACAACTTAAATAATCATACTAATCAACTTTGCCTTATATATTCTTTGACTCCTGTTTACACTGCTTAGATTTGGGAAAAAGTACCTGTAGTAATTGAGATGTAAGTAGACAAAATCTCCAATCGGTGTAGGGTTCCAAAGAGCACATTTTGATGGTGGAAAGTAGAAAGGTACCATCTTACTGGAAGGAAACCTTAAAAAAAAAAAGTTTGAAATTAAAAGCAGTACAAATTTTATTAAAAAAAAAAAGTAAGAAATGACTTGTAATTCTACTCTGCGTTAAGGAGAATAAGCACTCAAAATTTCTTTTTGGTCTTTTCCCGTATACATACATAAACTTACATACACACAAACTTTTGGAAAAGAACTTGGGGTACCAATCCTATAAAATCCCCTTTAACTAATAGGAAAAAAAGAGTATGAATCTGTCCTTTTGAACTAATTGCTAGATATATGCTAGATAATGCCCAATAAAATAGAAAAGCACAAAAACTTTATAATAAAAGTGATCTCTTTTCAGTGTTCCAATACACAACACAGATAATATTGGCTGTATAAACACAAGGTTTCAATGTGAAATCACATAGGGTACCACCACGATGCTCTTATTTAACATGTATAAAGAGAAAACCACAATAATAAGACAATGGAAAACAGGACTGGAAAAAAAATATTAGCTAAAATCACATGTAATTAAATCAAGAAAGCTGTAATAGTGAGCATGTATAACAGTGCATTTGCATGACTGGAGATCATTAAGTGATTGAACTAAAAGAATATTCATCATGTCATTCATTAAGAATACCTTCTTCTAGATGTTACTTTCATTTATGATCTGATGAAGCTTTTCAACTAAAATACTAGCCTCAGTTTACTATGTACTAGGTATCCTACTGGGCATTTTACCTACACACTATTCCTCACTCAAACTGTTCCAGAAACACTTACTGATAATAAATCATAACTTCACTAGCTTCATATATCAATTAAGTAATAGAGCTGGGTGTTCAATTTAAATTAAGTGTACATGGGGAGAATAGATTACTTGTGACTGATTTCAAAGTTTATAGTTCTAGAAGGTGAGTGGTATAGGAGCCTGAGTTCAATTCTGGCTCTACCAATTCTAAGCTATGTGCTTTCAAATCCCTGTCTAATTTGCTCCAATAATGATTTTTAATCTCCCCTTTTGCGGAATAAGGGTATAGTCTAAGTTTTAAAAATTCATTCAAGACCCCAAAGCTAATAATTGACAAACTATCATTGATCTGTCTCCATATCTAATATATCGGTTATTTACCAACTGTGAGAGGCAGTATAATGTAAGGGCTAAAAACAGTAAGTCTGGAATGAAATCTGGCTTCAAAATTAACTAGCGGCGTGACTTTGATCAAATTTTTTAATGTCTCTATGCCTCAGTTTCCTCATTTATTATCAGTATCTCCTGGCAAAGCTGTACTGAATATTAAATGCATAAATATATGTAAATGCTTACAAAAATTCCCAGTTTATTGTAACTGCTCAAAAGTGGTCATTTTGCTTTTAGAAATCTATCATACCAGGCCCTCCCTGTGGCGCAGAGGGTTAAAGCACAGCATTATTAAGTGATCCCCAGCCAGGTAGGTGACCCACATGTCCCACCCGCTGATCCCCTCAATAGTGTATTTCAGTTTATCTGCCTGTTCTGTTCCCCACTCTGTCTCTGGTGGATGCTCTCACCCCAGCACCTCTAGCCTGTACCCCAGTTAATGTATGCATAAATAAATAAATCTTAAAAAAAAATCCATCATATCTTTAAAACCTAATCTACATAACTTCAGGTTTACTTCCTTATAGTGCTGTATAGGGCAGAAGTCAAGTCAGGTTAAATCCTGGCTTTACCACTTACCAACTGTACAGCTTTCGGTTGGTTAATCCCTCTACACTTGCACAGATGCAACAGATTTTTCAAAGAAGAGAAGTTGATAAATTTTCAAAGATTAAGAAGTGGCTGTAGGATAGAACATAAGGGCCAAAGCTGAACGAAAGGCACATGATACCCTCTTTGGGTCATGTTTCCCATTGTCTTTATTAAGAACATCTGGCAAAAAGAAAAATACTACAGCTAGTAAGAAAGATGATTTATGTGTAATTCTAGTTTAGGAGGAAGAAAACTCGCATCCATATTAATTGTTCTCCCCTAGGGAGACGAAAGAACAATTAATGAGCCAAAGAGCCAAATAACTCAAGCCAATATGCTGGTCCCCATTATAATGACAGATTGGGAAAATTAAGAGCCAGGTGTTAAACTCCTCCTTTCTACTCCACATGAATAAGAAAAAGCTTACAGTAAGAAAAAGCTTACAGGCATTTAAGGAAATTTGGTATCGCCAATGCAGAATTTTCCCATGCAGGAATAAAAACTTAGAACTACTTTCCTACTGGTCTTGGGATGTAAATAAATTCGTGATTTCTAGCATAAAGAGATCAGGTACTATTTCCCATCAATAAAAGGATCCTCTGTAAAGCTACTGGAAGAAAGGAGCTAGTATTTAATGAGCAATCATATTTAACCCTTCACAATAATCTGTTATAAATTATTAAACCCAAGTTACAGGAAACTGAGGCTTAGAGAAGTTAAATCAACTTGATTAAGTTGGCCCACTAACAAGTGGTAGAGCTGGAATATGGACCCAGAATTTCCTGGTTCTAAAGATTATTATTTTTATTTGATTCTAACCTACTTTCCAAGGTACGTTAACAGAGAAAAAAAACTAAAAATATTTCTATACCTGATATTCATCTGGCATCCTGCAAGAGGCTCCATAACTTTTGACAATGATATATGTTCAAATACTCAATATCCTAAAGAAGTAAAGAGATTATTAATGAGTGACATAAACAAAAAAATCAGGAGCATATTTTTACCATATTCACAAAATTACATGCAAAATAAAGTCACTTATATGCAAAGTCTTCATTTATAAATTAAGATAAAACCTTATTTGACTGTCATCATGATTGTCATCATATTTTATAGTCATTCTTCCTATAAATTAATGTTAATGCTTATCTTAGGCAGCAAAACCTACCATTATTACTTCTATTACTTCTCTATTAAAGAAAGCACAGATTCTGTCCTAAGATCTTTATCTCAACTTAGTGAACTGGGTAAAGCAGGAAGAATTTAATAAAATTCTTGATAGTTTAATAAAAAATCTCATAATAATGTACATGCTATACAAATGAGAGGAAAATGAGATGATGGCTAGCTTTGTTTAATGTCTTATGCAATTTTCATGAACTAAAGCATAATTGTTAAGAATACATTAAGTACATATAAGTTAATAAAATTTTTATGAATGCACTTAAAAAAACTCAATATTCAGAAAATCACAAAGCATCAAACAAGAACAATCAGAGGCAGATAGTTATTGGGTTATAATGAAATCAATATATCTTAAAATTGTATTGAGATGGAAGTCAAATACTGCACTCCATAAACTGCCTTGTATCTGCAAAATTACTAATACACCTTTTAACATTAATACCTGCCTTCTCTGAATATGCTCCTCTACTCCCATCGATAGAGCCAACTCTCTCCTGAGTCACAAACCCTTATTTCTACTTGTCCACTGGTTATTCCCATCTAAATACTATCAAAGCAAAATACAATCTTCATTAACCTTTCTTAAAATTCAGTGTTTCTTATAATCTTTTATTAAGTTATGAGAGTTTCTTAAGGCCCTACACGTTCTATTTCATGTTAGCAAAAGGGAATGGTCTGAAGCAAGGAAGGAATTATCAATGCAGTTGTAGAAGTCATCTAGAAAGTATTTTTTTTAGATAGAGACTAAAAATATTTACAACAAAATTCTACCAAAAACACCCCTGTAAAGGGTGTTTTAAAAAGTTACCCTTGAAAATATCTGAGCTCCCTGCATATTCAGAATGCAGATTTTGAATCTAAAGTTCTTCGATGCTACTTGATTATCATGGATACAATATTCACATTAAACCTGCAACTCCTTAAATCTATAAAATGCTGTTTTCTTCACTAAAGTCAAAGTCTTTAAACTCCGTATTTGCCTCTTCTTCCATTATATGTTAGGGTAAAAAGATAATGCTGATCCACTTCTTGTATTAAAACAATATACAGGCTACAGTTAATTCTGACAGTGTCACGAGCAATTAGTGAAACTAAAACCACATAATACCTGCACCTAGGGAAACATTCTCCTCTGACAATGGCAGTCTTGTTTATCTCATGGAAGCCATTAATCATCCTTAGGTCTCCTTTTCCCCTCTTCCAACATATAAATTGTCTTTCCATCTTCTACCTTAATTTCCAACTTCAGCACAGACCAGATTTACCAAAAGTGCCTAAAAGTGTGCTAGAGGGGTAGTTACACACAAATCAAAGCACTCCTTGTTTATAAAGCTGTGGCTCATGTTCATTTACAGAATACAGGACCTTCACATTCTGGCCTCAAGCCAGTAATCCTGATCCTTTCCTACTCATCCTAAATCTCAACCAAACTGAATGACATACTTGCAGATCGCCGACTTTGATACCTTCGCACAGGATGTCTCCTTTACTTGGAACTCGCTTTCTCCGTGAAACCACCTCCTAGATACCATGGTGATGACGTACCTACCGCCAGCGTTCACACACCTAGCATCACGCCCACACCTTACTTCCAGGAGACCACGAACTCCAAACATCAACTGACCCCTTACAATGTAGCTCCTCTGAGTTAGATAACATGAGGGATGAAAGAAGGAACATAATGGCCTTTGGTTTTCAAGAAACTATCACAGTAAAAACTTTAGCTGAAACTTATCGACTACAGATAACATACCTCCAAGCCATTTCAAGGAATCCGTGGTCCCCTTGATTTCCCCACTAGTTCCCCTTCGTGTCACTGGTCCCAAGCTCCCGTGCGAACCCACCACCGGGCCCTGCATAATGCCCACTTTCTTCCCCTAGCCCCGGGGTTACCCCGGGGGGAATCATAAGCACAAAGCCCCACTCACCGCAACCTTCGCCGAGCCAGGGTGTGTTTGTTGGTCGGGACAGAAGTCGGCTCTAAGGTGCGCCTCCGCCGACTCTGCCCCGCCTCTGGGACGTTGGGGTCGCGGGAACCAAGGCGGCAAACAAGGGCTAGTGAAACCGAAGCCCGCGCCGCGCCCGCTGACTGGTCAGAAGCCCTACGCGTCACGGAGCAGGGGCGGAGCTGCAGGCTTTACGTACAAGCGCCGCGACAAGTTGATGCGCCAGCCAATCAGCGTCCCGCATCGGTTTCGCGCTTGACCAATCCCTAGTTTCCTTGGAGAATTGTGGTCACGATCCGCGCTCAGCAGCCAGATCTGGAGGATTTAAACCTGTCGTTTTCATCAACGGTTAAGTTCCGGGGTGGGGCGCGCTTTGCGCACGCGCAGTGGAAATGCCGAGTAGGCAGCAATTGCGATGGCAGAGGAAGCGGAAGTGTTCGCTACCCTAATCCTCGTTAGGGGGCTGGAAGCTATCCGTTCACTTGAGTGGACCAGAAAATGAATTTAGTTTTCCTCCTGTGTCTTTCCTAAGAAATATCCACACCTCTCATTGACAAAATAACAACAACAACAATAGTAGTAGTAGTGGTAGTAATAGTAGTAATAATAAAAATTAAGTTCCTTGGCCACAACAGAACGTAACTTAAATATATCAGCCATTTATAATGATTTCCACCACAAATATCGGTATGCTGTTGGTGTATGTGTGTGTGTTTATATTGATGTTAGTGTAATTATTTACAGTAATCTCAATTCCCGTGATTGTGTCTTCCTTGCCATTATGTGATAATCATTGTCTTAACAGCCAAATTAGGTATTACCCCTCCTCAACAAAGGGAGGACATTTTAAAGATCCCACATCTAGGTAGTGCAGTCAACATTCGAAATACCACTTAGTTTCCAATAGATTACACTTCGTTAGTTTCCTGAACAGCATGTGGGTGTCAAAAAACCTGAACCGCATTTGTATGCTGCCTTGTTCTGAAATAAGCAATGGCCCTTCGTAAGAGTAAAAACACTTTCCTGAGAATTGCATCAAGCATGCCAACAAATATATATTATGTATAATATTATTTTCTGCTTTCCTGGAAAAATTCCTGGAATCTAGAGTACACATTTTAAAGGAAGTGATGTTGGATTTAACCCTGATGTGAGAACAGAAGAGTCTCAGAAGTGATACCTGTCTGACAAGGTGTGGGCCAACCCAGTGGGGAACTCTGAAGCAGATTGTGCACTCGAGTGTTCCACATAACACAGAAATGGCTAGGACCCTTGCTGTACTCCATAATTGGGACTTCCTAGAAAGAGCAAGTACAAAAGCTGAAACAAATCCTAAAGGTCACAGCAAGAGATTATTCACCCAAGAGCACCTTTGCTAACTGGGAAGTTCTTTCTGGAGAGAGAGCCAAGTGACACACCTTGATGGCTGTCTTGGGTGGTAATATGTAAGAGCTTATGGTGTGAGAGCTTCCCACCATCTTCAAGGAAGAACCAGAGGCTGGCTATATGCTAAGAGTGAGTGAAAATATTAATAATTGAAGGGGGAAGTGTTGGAAAACCACAAAAAATGAGATAAGGACTTGGCTTTGATCTTTAGAAAGATAAGATTGGAAGATTTTTAATAGGAGACTGACATGATCTAATTTCAGGTTTTAAAAAGATCCCTGTGCGTGCTATATTCAGATTAAACTGTAAGGGACAAGGGCAGAGCAAGGACATGTTTAGAAGGCTGCTGCCATAATCTTGAGGAGAGATTGATGCTGGCTTCAGCCAGAATGGTAGCAATGGAGGTAGTGAGAGGCTGCTGAATTCTGCATGTATTTTGAAGGTAGAATTAACAGGATTTGATTACAGAATTGAACAACGGATGCAAAAGAAAGATAGTTTATGTGGGCACTCATGGTTTTATGGTTTATTTAACTACTTTAAGATATCAAAAGAAGGCAGCAGCCCTTCTGCCACCTATGACTATGCAGGCCTCTCTTTTAACAAACCTGTGCCTTTCGGGGAAGTTCTTTCTGCCCCCTTGTGTCTGTCCTTTATTCTTCTCTCCTTTTTTTTGTAACAAACCTGCCCTTTTGGATGTATATATATTTTTAAAGATATCTAGATATCTAAAAGAGAAATGTAGGATTTTATAATTTATACAAAAAGCAAAGAATGAGAATAAAACATAACTCTCCCCACTTAGGGCATACTGACAGGCAAGTGTACAGTATGGAAAGGGGTGAAGAGAGTAGGAGAGAGTAACTTTACATTGGAGAAATCTGACAAACATTATTAACCAGATAATCAAGAACAAGCCATCAGTCATTTGGGATAGTATGTAGACTTTCTATATGTGATGAAAATGGCACATTAGAAGTGAAGTAAGCCAGAAACACACATTTCACATATAGAAGTAATATAAGGAAACAAACAGATAAAGCAAAATAAATATAAATTAGCAAATCTGGCCCTAATTCTTCCATTTAATTTAAGATTGATATTCTTCATTTACATATTATATATAAGTGTTAATCCATAATGAATGCAAATATTAATTAAAAGGCTGCCCATAGACAGTGCTGGCAAAGAGGCAACACACTTTTATACATTCATTATAACTAAAGGAACTGACTTGTTAAATTAGAAACTCAATTTAGTGAAATAAAACCTACAAATGTTGTCCCACATACCTACTGCACACTAAGCTTTGTACTAGATGGTAAGGAAATGGTAGAGAAGAAAAACAAGAAGACACATTTTTATAGGTGGGTTAATAAGAGGGAATTGGCCAGAGCAAATTGCAGGCTCGTTAAATAGACTGAA